TGTCTTCGCGAGAAACAAGATTTATGTATTTTCTGTAGTTTTGGTCATTTCCATCTAGTATTCTCTGTCATTGTTAAGTGTTCTTCATATTAACAGTCTTATAAACTTTTCCTGCTGTCTTTAACCGTGGTGACTGCCCATTCTCAAATCTGGTCCTTAGCTATTTCTCACTAGTTTTTACTGTGTTCAAAATTTCTTATTGATATTGATTGCTGTCAGTCCTTCGTATTATTTCTGTTCATTAACTGTGTTTCAATTGCTGTCTTTGTTTCACATCATAACTAGAATAGGCTCTAAGAAGAAACTTAAACTTTGCACTAATTATGTATTTGAGATAAGTAAAGTGTCTTATGTTTGCTTGGACCTGTATAATCAAATGTGATCACTGATAACCAAGCAGGTAGTTATTTGAAATTCAGTTATACTAGTCTTTATCTGTTCTTATCCAAATTAATTAGCATATTCTTTATGTTTGAGGTACAGTATGGAGGTGTCTCCAGAGAATGGTATGAGCTTTAGATAATGTGTGTATATATGCCTTGTCTGATCCTAGGAACAGAACCATAAAAAACACATATTGTTTGCCTGTACTGCTCTTACATAAATATCACTGTAAAGTTAATAAGACATTAGACTGCTTGAGTAATAAGAACTGCAGAATTTGGCCCTTTAATAAGAAGCATGAATTTAACAGGAGGTCAGTAATTTCAAGGGTAGTGTGGAAGAGAAAATCTTCATTGTGCAATATCTTAGATGATGTTTACAGTTGGATCTAACACACTAGATGCCCATGTGCCATATTATCTGCTTAGAATGCTTTTAATAAACAAATGAGACCTACATTTCCATTTCAGAAAAAGAAGTCACATAAATCATCATGTATTAATAACATGTCATAAAATAGTAGGTATACAATAGGAAGCAATTCTTATTTAAATCATACTGTTCAAGAAATGCTAGTGACATCTGCAAAGGTATCTGGCAAATCCAGTAGTAGGCTATTACATAAAGTTAACTGAAAGTTAAATTGGGCTTTATTTGTAGTCTTTCCATATATTGTACTATAAACATGCATAGAGAATGTTTGTAGTGCAATATATGTGTCAGTCTTGTATTATAACATAATTCTACATAGAGGTCACTAGCTCTTCTTTTGATTGACTTACGGTGTGAGTCACCAGTTCAGGCAGTAATAATTAATGGTAAGTATTGCTTAATGCAGTGGATATTAGCTGGAGATCTTGCCATACCAGGATCAGAAAGTGAGACAAGTGGTAAGAAGGATTAAAATGGAAGTATGCAGATGTCACTGTGACATTGCTCATAAGGAGATATTTTGGCATAGAAAGATCTTTTAAAGTTCTTAGTGATAGTCTATAGTCTATCAAAGACAGAAGGCCCAAGCAGAGTATTGCTGACAGAATAAAGTAGAATTTGACCTATATTTTGGTGTACCATATCTTCTTTTAAGCAAGGTAAGTAGGATGGTTATCTCAAAATTGTAAACTCTAATCTTGAATGTTTTTTATGCATGAACAACTTAATGCATAGTACCATTTTTCGAAAAGTATGGCATCTCACTTGAATAGGATTACCCACATAAATTGAGCATTAAGTTTCTGCCCCAAATGTCAACATAATTCATGCAGTTCTAATTATACATAAATTATGTAGGAAACTTCCTGCAAAGACAGATCTGTGATAATGTATTGAGCTTACATTGAATCAACATACTCGTAACATGCACATACGCAGAGTTGCTAGTTTAAGTGTAAAAGCCAGCATACTTAAAGCAAAGCTTTCATACTTCATACTGTCAGCCTGAATACCACAAAAAAAACCTATGTATCTCACTCAGGCAGTTTAAACACATGACAATACTCACGTGTTATCAGACATCATATATAATAGGCAGGAATGTAATTCAATATTGAAGGCATATGAGAGTATCTTCATACCAGTTGATTTAAGTAGCACATGAGAAAATGCAAGTGTTATAGGTGCAAAATTAACTGCAGAGATGGTGTTAGTATTTCTCACCAGCAAAATGTTCTCATCATAAAGTGACAGAGAAGTCCATAAATACAGACTTTACAGAAATAAAGTCTGTATTTCCTTTAGTACAGAACAGTAAGAAAATTAAGATATATTTGACTTACAGCTGTTTGGTGTAAGAACTGTTTGTTGCCATGTGTTGCAGGGTGCCTTGTGCAGTGGGATCTCAGTCCTTAATCATTACCATAATAACTAATGAGAGTTATTTATATTAAAAGTAATAAATTAGTTTTTCTGATCTATGCCTTCCCAACGGGGTACAAGCCTCATACTGTACTCTATTTTTTCTTTTCCTTCCCTAGGCATACTGAAACTATATTTACTTAATACTTCTTTGTTCCATACCTATTCTCTTTTCTGGTGTGTCTTACTAGATCCTTGATTGTTCTGAGTTTATTCCTGGTTTTTAATTATAATAAAATATTTGTCTTTTTTTTTGTTTGTGTGTGTTTTTGCTTGCTTGCAAATTTTTTTACTTGACAATAAACTATCTCTTAAGGTGCCTAACTGCTAAAATAGGTGTCTTTTCAGGAGATAAGAGAGAGGGAAGAAGAAAAATATATTTAAGCAATACAGTTCATTTCCATGTGGTTTTGCTATTTTGGTGAGCAATCTAAGAAAAAATATAAGAACATACTAATTTTGTTTTGGCATATTATTTAAATACTACTTATCCAGATTTATAATATAAATTAGAAATTTACTATTTGCCTTTATTTTTAAATAATATTCACTATCTTTTTTTCTGCCTGTATGCGTATCTATTTCATATTCAGTAATTTGTGTGAAAGTACTTTCTGCTTGTTTTTTTACAGGAACTTTATAGTGGTAGCAAAGACTGCAATATCCTTGCGTGGATACCAGCTCCACGAGAGCCAGTTCCGGATGATATTTCTGAAAAGGTAGTGAATCTTTGAGTTTGAACTGTATTATTTTATGGCTGTTATACTTGGGCAGGTTGTGTGGAAAGTCAGTATGAAGTATGTGACTCACCACCAACATTTTTAACAATTTCTAATTAAGAGGATAATCACCTGTTATTTCTGTGCAATCTTTTGATTCTTACAGGGTTTTGAGATGACGTTTTCTCTTGTAGTCTAGTCAAGTCTTTTGCAGGTTGCTAGCTGCCTACTTAGATAAGAGTAGTTCATGTTATTTGACTATGGGTCTTTCAAATTCTGCTTCTTTAATTTCAAAATTTCCAAACTGCTTTCTGTAGTTTGTCCTGTTTTGGAATTATAGAGGTGCTAGATTGTATTTTAAATTGTTTAAGAATATACTGCATATTAAGGTTAGGGATACCCCAGTAAGATTAGGGATACCACACTTCATATGCAAATATTTTTGATGTGAAAATATAATAAAGGAGTTTCTAAATATGTTTATTTTTATGCCCAAGGCAAGACATTCAGGCTGATTGCAGGGAAGATCATATGTAAGACTGATTTTTCAGTAGAGTACTTTCTCTCTCTCGGACAAGAAATATTTCAGTGAACAGCCTGAGTGGGAAGAAGTCTGTATTTTAAGGGACTGAAACCATTCACAGAATCACAGCGTACTGATGCTGAAAAATGAAGGTGTATGAATGTTTTGGCTCATAGCATATGAAAATTTCGGTTTTTAAAATTTCAGCATCGTTCCATTTCAGATGAAGAAATTATAAGAACCATAAAATTGTTGTAATGTTTGCTTTTTTTAAGTTTTTGTGTTTCAAAACTATCCTGCACCTAAGCAGACAAGAAAAATAATGTTCCAAAGATTGGTACCCTAAACCCAGATTGTGTTGACCTTAAATTAGTATTTTTGTTGTGAAAATTTTGATGTGAAGAAATTGTATTTTTCTTAGTCTGAAAAACAAAAGCCCACAGCAACAAGATTATTTACTTAGCTCTGATTAGAACTGCTCCTTTAAATTTGACACAGTGGCAGTATGTAATATATGCCATTGTTTTGAAATCTGTTAAGCTACAGCTGCTGTTTGCAAATGCTGTAGATGAGCCCTGTAGATGAGATGTCTCTGTAGGAAACTGTTTTGCTGTCCACAGGCCATTCATCCATGTTTCCTCTCAGGTGCTAGAATAGGCATTTGAGTGCTTGTATGACCAGAATCTGAACCCAGAATAGAAGTAAACAAGAAAAAAAATTTACCCGAAGTCACTGTGATTCAGTGCACTGCATAGCTACACAAACCTTTTAGTTGCACCGTAGTGGGGCTGAGGTGAGAAATATTTCTTGGATGTGGTTAGAGGCCAGGGCTGCTTCCTGAAACTGTAGTGCTAAGTTATTATGGGCCGAGGCTATTGTAATCTAAATTAAAGCAGTGGCACACAATAAACATAGTTATAACATTTGTTATATTTTGCCCAAATATTTGTAATACTTCCAGTCAGTCCTCCAGATATTTTATGCTGAAATTGAAATTAAATACAGTATTATTTCTTTTAATAATTTATCATGTCTTTAATCAGTAGAATGTCTAAAAAAGTAGTTAAAAATAATCCAGTACTGATGAGAGATATAATAGTTTGTCTACATGTGGTCATTTAAAAAGTGCATTTAGCTTTGCCTTTATTTTATTGTAGTATTTTTAATCTAGCAAAACACTGAGAATTTTTATTTTCCCTAGTCTCTGCCTCAACAATGTGTAAATCCAGCATATGAAGACGCATGGAGCAGCAGTGATGATGAAGGCTGAATTTAAATTATGAGCTGATATAAAATTGACATTCAGCCACTGCATTCACAGACTTTTACAGAACTGGACATTGTTGGATTTATCACAACTGGATTTTAGGTACAGTTCTGTCAGAGCAAGGTCTTTCAGAAATAACTTTCCAGTGTTCTCTGTGTTTCTCTGTCACTTTAATGTTAAATCCAAAGGATTACTTTTTCATACTTGCTGACTTTTGTACTTGCACATGAGTCTACTTTATTCAGTGTTGAACAGCTGATAAAGCAAAAAAATAAAAGCCCTTGGGACCAGTAAAAATTACATTGTTTCTGTTATCTTTAGTACATGAGGAGATAACCCATTCATTTCTGAGACACATGATACAGAGGACTTTCCATGGAAGAGGGGTGGCTCAGAAATACTTCCAACTTATTTTTATCGAAGTATTTAAGTAGCGGATTGTATCTATTCTCAAGTGCTTATGTGCTGTGGGAGTCAACAGATGTTGGTGCCTGTTCTTGCATTTTCAGTTTTGCATGTTTTTCCATAAATGCAGTATTCACTTCAGAAAGAGGTATAGCAGGGATCCTCTATTCAAGTATTTATATGGTGACCCTATCATCTAATATCTGAATCTGCCCCAGAAATCTAAGAATAGAGACTAGTTTAGAGTTTTTGTTGCTCCTGTTAGCAGGTTTTTAAGATCAGTCTTCTATGAATGAGTGACACATCTTTAGCAAACATGAAGGATTCCTGGACAGAGACAGGGTTAAGGTGCAGTACAAGGCAGAGAATAGATCACATTTAAAGTTAAAAATATTGAATGTAATCCTTCCAAACTGTTTTTTTATCTAAAACATTTTGCAGTCCTAATGCCTGCTCTGTTTTGAAAGGGAGTTTTGTGGGGTTATTGTCTCATCTCAGTCAACAGTTTGTGCTTCAGACATAATGTAGTCTGTCACTAAAGAATGTTCTCAGATTGCTTAAAGCATCACCAGCAAAAGTATTGGTAAAAACAGGTCCAGTATAAAAGCAACAGCAGGACAAGGTTCAGTGTTAAGGGCACACTGAGGAAAAGCAAATGAAAACCCAAACTCAATCAATCCAGTCCAAAATGAACTAAAAACTATGCTACATAACTTAAAACTGAAGTTAAATGATTTAGCAAAGGATTAATGTAGGACTTACTATACCACAACAGTAACTTACTTACAGACCTCACTTACAAATCTAAAGTACTTAGAGAATCTAGGAGAGCAGCATTTCTTGTGCACTTGGTACAGAATATGCATACTTGCATGCACACAGACACAAAGAGCCTGTACAAGGTGAAAAATTCCCCTCAAAAATAGTGAAATACAAATTTCAGATGCCTTTGTGAAGGGTGAGCCTCAAGGACTCAGGGGTATCACTGTTCAGGGATCCTCAGAGTACAGGAAACTTGGGAGTTCCCTGGCTCTGAGAGGTCCCACTCACAAGAGCTTTGCTGGTCACAGCTGCTGCTTCAGGAGAGCTCAGAGGGTCTCACTCTGGAGCACTGTGTGTAGGGCTGCAAGAGAGGGGCTTTGGTCATAACAATGTTCCATCCTGGCCACACATTGGGTTGGAAACCTTCTTTGACAGTGTGAAAAGATAACATATTATCACACTTGGATTCTTATTCAGGCAAAAAAGTGTCCAGGGCTGTTCATTAAAATACAGGAGCTCCTTAGATATCACAGGTTCCTGGGAGCAGACAGTGTTTTTACTGGTAAGTCAAAAGAAGGTCAGTCTGGGTGCTGTTCCTAAGGAGCATTTCTCAGATCACATCAGGAGACGGATTTGATGCACTATTGTCGAACAAACTTATAAACATCCATTTTTGCCTAAGTTGCACCATGAATGAAGGATTCAGCTCAAGAAGAGGTGGGCTGTGAATTAGTTGTCCAGCTATCTTCTTATCCAGATGCCTTTGGGTTTAGTGTCTCAAACAGTTGAAAATAAAAATTAGTTGCCTTGGGAGTTTCTTACACCTACTGGCAGCTAATATTTTTTTCACAGGAGTCCTTCAAAATCTTCTGGTATCAGTTGTTGGTGGTATTATTTTCCCTCTTGACTGTTGTCTTCTGCTGGAGGAGAGGTGTTTCTGATGGGGAAAATGAGAAACACCTGTCTCTCATGTGGGCAAGAATCCAGACACATTGTACAACCCAGCACACCTGCAAGCCTTCCACATAATGGCAGTTGCTGACACGCGGTGTTTAGTTTTCAAGTTTTAAAACCTCTTGGTACTAGCCAGCATCTCAAACACCAGTTTCTGTGGAAATTCTACATTGAAGAATGGCGTTTTTGCTATTATTTCCTTTACTACTTCATTCTGTAGTTGTGTGAAATTTTTTATTTAAGCATTTTTTTAGGAAAAAAATTATTTTATATCTTCTGCATTCCTATGGCAGCTGTACTTAATTACTGAGTGTTGGTGTCTTCAAAATGAAAAATTTTAAAGATCAGTGAAGGTACACTGTATATGATTTCTCACAACCAAGAACTATGTACTAAGCCAACAATATCAGTTGCAACTGCAATATCTTTCTTGTGTGTAAGTTAAATGTTAAAATTAAATCTGAGCTTTCCCCTTTGTTTATGACTTTCTGATTATATGCTTATGGCATGTATTTTTATAGTATCAAAACTCTTTCAGAACCCAAAGTAGAACAAGTAGAGTGGTTTAAAATAGATTTAATCACACTTCCCATCCCTACCCATCGGTCAGAAAAAAAACACATCTAAAAATCCAGTCAGATGTCAAAATGGGTGCTCTGTTCATACTGAAATAAAATTACTCACTTGAGAGTCAACTAACTCATAGCTAGATTCTTACTGTTAAGAACAGTAAAAGTGAAGAGTTTAAGGGGAAAGTTTAGGCTGCAATGAACTGCATTCTTATCTCACTAGTGGTCCTGGGATTTAGTCATACTGTATCAGAGAACATAGAGAATCTAATCTTAGATTCTAGAGAATTTAATCTCTTCAGGCTGTTCTGGGAATTGAATTTTGCTTAGAATACTTTCTTTGTCTGCCAAGGCAGAGATTTTTATTTGAACTTGATATATAAGTATCAAAAGATGGAGAAGAATTTATTTGTTCTTACAACAGATCAAAGAGTTTTCTTTTCGTTCTAGCCTAAGGAAACAATGAAGGTGGAGTCAGACTGAGCTAGTCCAACTGAAGAAATACAAAGAGCCTAAGACAAGTCTCCTTCAGCTTAAGTGGAAGCTGAGGCAGTAAGATAGAACTCTGATTATTTATGACTAGGTTATGATGCTCAACAAGTACTTGATATTAAGACAGCCTTGAAAAAAAGAAAAACCTTGTTCTTTTTTCTTCCTGTACACAGAACTGGAAGAAAGAATTAGCACATGAAAATTTCTATATAGCTATCTCTCCAGTAATTACAAGATAACACCATATGCTTACCTCCCTTTGCCCTTTTTTCTGTGCCTGGTATACCAGCTCTTGCACACAGACTGACAAATCTTGAAACTTAAGAGATTTGTTTGCCACCTTTTTTTTGCATTGTTTGGGTTTCTTGTCAGGCCAAGCTTCTCACAAGACATCTGGGTTTTTTTGTTTTTTTTTTTTTTAAGCAAGAATGATGTCCTCCATCAGCTCAGGAGCCAAAATTTAAGAACACCATCCTAGTAAACCTGAAAAAATCTCAGATTTGCCTACATCAATAGGATTGGTTCTTATGTTTTTCTTCCCTTTTTTTTTAAATACTATAATACTATTGTTCTATATAAAAATACTATTGTATTTTTTAAAATACTATAATATTATAGTTCTTATCCTGCCTTGAATGTAAACACATATACATACACATATATCTATGCACAGAAGATATAAAAGTACTTGAAATAAACAACTGCTTTGGCACCACTCCTTTGGAGGATAGTTCTTGGTTTTGATCCTACGTCATTTTTACGTGGAGGCAAGGGTCTGGTTCATTAGTTGAGAATTGTAGGCTCTTTAGTGCACATTGGCCTAGTATCTGCCATAGTGAATGGGTAAGCTTACTGCTAGCTTAGTACACGTAAAATTTGCAATACCTAGTCTGTGGAGTTGCATTTTTTTATGTTTTATTACATTTTCATCCTGTAATCATTTGTTCCTGTATACCCCCACATTGTATTGAGTTTTCCTGCCTTCCCTCATTTGTCAGTCTCCCCAGAAAGTACTTGGTCATTCCCCTGTCCCCTCCCAGCTGCCTTGTCCATCACTCGGTGTCCTGTCCCCTACATCTAGAAGCTTCCATCCTGGGCACTGAGTGATTGGATTAGGGCCTGGGGCCCCTCCTCTGTCTATCCCTCACTGGTTCCTTTATATGTCAATCCCCACAAGAGCCACTCCCTAATGTCTCCCCATTGACTGGTCAGTTCCCCTCCCTCCCCGTATATAACTTGTTGCAAGCACCTCTCGGGTGCTCTCGTTGGCTGGCTTTGTTCATGTGCTGTTGGACCCTTCTGGGTCACAATAAACCTCAGAATTAGCCCCCAACAAGTGCCTCTCCTTCTTCCTTTGCCATTGGGATCTGCGGCGACCTCAGGACCCACAGAAGCACTTCCCAAAGCCCATCTGGGTCCAGCGGGGAGTGCTTCCTGCTGCCCTACTCACCCCATTGGAGAGCTAGCCAGGGCTGAGGAATTTGGGACAGTGATTCGGGGTGAGGACGCGGCAGTTTGGCACCCAATGTGGGGCCAGAAGACCACCTGACCCCACGGCAGAGGATCCTCGAAGTCCCGGAGACTTGTGGATATATCTTTGTGGCCGTCAAACCACCCCAGTGGGAACAGACCCACGTTTTAGTGGGTGGCGCTCCTGGGGACGGGACCGACAGCTCCAGCCAGCACCTTCAGAGTCAGTCCTCCCTTCAGCATGTCAACAGCTGGGATTTTTCATTTCCACCAGGACGTGACCGGACCCTCTCCAGGGGTGAGTGAGGGGGTCTTTGGGGCTTGAACTCCTGTCCTTTTGAAGGGTTTTCCTTTTCTGCCCAGGGTAGGGGGGAGGGATTCCTTTTTTGGGTGGGCTTTTCTTTTTCCATGGTTGTAGGGGAAAGACTCCACATTCTTTTGGTATAACTCCCATTTCCCGGGTGCAGGGAGATTGAAGAGCAGGTAGTTTAAGTCGTTCGGGGTGGCCTTTTTTTTTTGTTGTAATTTCCTCAGTTGTTGACTTGTGGCACACTTAACATCAGTCAGTATGGGTGCAAAACTGACAGTGCCACAAAGGAGAATTTACTCGCAAGTTGTGGGTATCCCGGTGGGGGGTAATAAAAAGTTTAAAAAATCTGATGTTAAGAGGTTTGTCCGGTGGTTGTCGCAGAGCTTCCCAGATGTTTTGGCCACCAAATTATACCAAGTCCTCTTTTGGGACCAAGTTGGAAGGGAGATCCTAAAACAAGGGAATCCTTCCCTTTCCAAATTTACTTATTTGGCATTACAAATTAGAGATATTGTTAAAAATAATTATGCAGCTCTGCCACAGCCATCAGTTGACAAACCCAAGCCCCAGTTCAAAAAATCCTACCCCTCTTTCCTCTCCCTCTTTCCAAAAACCGGGGATTCTTAGACGGGCATCCCGGCAGTGCCCGCAGGCAGATTCTGGCCCCTCTGAGAATCCTCGGGACCCCTTCCAGGGCAGTGCTTACACTGCTCTGGACTCTTCCCGTACCCCTATTTCCCCGCAATGTACAGCCCCGTCCCGTAGGAATTCTGTAAATTTCAGCTTCCCTAATCCCACTCCAAATCCCTCATCCCACACCCCACAAAATGGCTTCCCTTCTACCCACTCCCCAGGGGCACAAGATGGCAGGGACCGCATGGCTTTTCCCACCACTTGTGCTCCTTCTTCCCACAATCCCTTTCACTCCTCTTCCCTAAACCCTTTCCTCTCGACAGCCAACCCCTTCCACTCCCAAGACTTTCCCGCCCATTCCTTTCCTCCACCCACCTCTGTTAGGTCATCTAATGAATTATTTGACACCTTGTCCCCCAGTTCTGCCTCTGGGGGGAGCTTTCCACCAGCCACTCCCCCTGGCCCTGACTCAGCCCCTTCCGCCTCCTCCCTCAGTTCCTACGACCTCACTTCCAGTTCCCACAGTTTGAGTTCCGGGGTGGGGGAGGAGTGTGGGAACTGCAGCCTGTCCCATTCCCTGCCTGCCTTCTCTGCTGCACCAGTCACCTTCACCCCACAGCGGGGAGGCAGGCCCCTAGCACAGTGGTCCCCCATCCCCCAGCAAACCATTAAGGATCTCTGCAAGGCCCAAAAAGAGTTCGGCAGGGAAAGTGAATTCTTTAGAGGCATGTTAAAGGCAACGCTCGCTTCCTCTGAGTATGTTCCTGCCGACATGCGGACTCTCTTTTTGTGTTTAATCACTCAAGATGAGTTTTTAATTTGGGAGTCTGCATGGAAGCGGGAAATTAGGGAAGTGCTGCCAGACCTCTGGGCCGTTGCAGAGACATCCACAGACATCAATGGGGCAATGTTATCAGTGGACCATATGTGCAGGGTAGGGGATTGGGAATTTGGCCCAAAGCAGGCAGAAAAAATCCCCAGGGAGGCATTACAATCAAGCATGAAGGCGGCGGAGAAGGCCTTTTTCAAACTGAGCCCTAGCAGCCCAATCACTGACTACTTGTTTATGAAGCAGGAGCCGCTGGAGTATTTTATAAATTTTGTAGATTGCTTGTGTCGAGCAATTGAAGTGCAGGTTCTGGACGAGAGCCTTCATCACTGAAGTCGCAAAGCAAAATGCCAACAAAGCATGCAAGCAAGCCATTCTGAGCCTCCCCCTAGATCCGGAGCCCACACTGCAGAACATGCTCAACATCTGCGCAAGGAAGGTGACCATCCCATCCAAAGACTCCCAGGGAACTCCCCGAGTGTCATTGAGGAGAGTCTCATTTGCAGAAGCCATCACCCCGTCATCCACTCCTGCTGCAGAGCGCCGCTTTCCAGGGACGCCTCCAAAAGGAAATCCTGCGGACAGACCTTGTCATCTCTGCAAGCAAAGAGGCCATTGGGCTCCACAATGCCCATTGAGAGAGGATTTCTTAAAATATAGACAACAGCAAGGGTGAGGCACCCCCAACCCGGGGGGAAATCAAAAAAACTAATAGACAAGCGCAGGGTCCCCCTGCGCGCTGAAACAAACATGGTGGGACAATTAACATCAGAGCAGGGGGGGACAGGGCTTCAGCACCCACCTGAGGACCAATACTTAACTAGCAGAAGTGACACTCTATCGAAACTGACTACATCTGACGAACCAGCCTATATGGGGGAGGATGTTAGTTTCATCTCAAAGGCCTGGGTTGGTTGGGACCTTCCCAGGCCCATTCTTAACACCCAGTCTAATTTCTCTCCCTATAGGTTGGCCCTGATTGAGCCTTTGCATCTAAAGGACACTGATTGGCATTTCATCACTGTGGACACCGAAGACCTCAGAACCTGGAGGAACATCCACAGTAAGTACATCGTTCTTGGGGACACAAAGTTCACGCCACTCAACATAACCATCACACTGAGTTTAACATCCGCTCATCCCGAACATCTGATATTATGGCTGCACTGTGCTCACCTGCCAGTCTTCCTTCCCAAAGGCCAAATAATAGCTCAGGCCATTCTGGTACCTGGGCCTCCAGTTCATCCAGAAAATCTATGGAGGCAGACACCCGAAAAGATCTATCAGACGTGTCAAGCCCAGGTACTGGGGAAGGAAAGACCAAAAATTTCCTGTTACATGTGGAAGGGCAGGGAGCACAAATATCTTAACAGACTACTGGATACAGGGGCAGATGCGATGGTCATTCCCTCGCAGGATTGGCCGTAACAATGGGAGCTGCAGGACGTGGCTGGATGGATTCAGGGTGTAGGGGGCACACAATTGGCAAAGCAGTCAAAAAACATCGTAAAATTCGAGGGGCCAAATGGACAATCAGCTTATTTACGTCCATTTGTATTAGATTATATGGAACCCTTGTGGGGGAGGGACCTAATGGCCCAGTGGGGGGTCACAATTGACATACCAACTCCCCAGGTGTTTTGGGCAGTGGCTGCTGAGGAGTGTCCTACTCAGAAATTAAATTGGCTTACGAATACACCAATCTGGGTAGAGCAGTAGCCGCTCAACAAACAAACATTAAAAGTGCTCCAGAAGCTCATGGATGAGCAACTCGTCCAGGGGAACATACAGGAAACAACATCCCCTTGGAATTCCCCCATCTTTGTCTTGAAAAAACCAGGCAAAGATGAGTGGCAGCTCCTCCATGACCTTCGTGCAATCAAAAAAGTTATGGAAGACATGGGCCCTCTCCAACCAGGGATGCCGTCCCCCACAATGTTGCCCAAAAATTGGGAATTGGCAGTTATTGATATCAAGAATTGTTTTTTCCAAATTCCTCTGCATCCTGAGGATGCGCCACGTTTTGCCTTCTCAGTTCCATCCATCAACCGAGAAGCCCCAATGGAGAGGTACCACTGGAATGTTCTACTCCAAGGCATGAAGAACAGCCCTACAATCTGCCAGTGGTACATTTCTTCATTGCTGTCCCCTGTGCGTGCAGCCACCAAGGGTGTGATCATTTATCACTATATGGATGACATTCTAATTTGTGCCCCAAACAGCAATTTATTTGTGCACGCACTTGACCTGACAACCAATGCATTGGTTGCTGCAGGGTTCAAGCTGAGAGCAGATAAAATTCAACGGATGCCACCTTGGAGGTACCTAGGTTTGGAAATTAACAAGCGGACCATTGTTCCACAGAAATTGGCAATCAAAAACAGCATTCGGACCTTAGCTGACGTTCAGCAGCTGTGTGGATCTTTGAACTGAGTGGGACCCTGGTTAGGTATCACCAATGAAGACCTAGCCCCCCTTTTCAATTTATTGAAGTGGGGGGAGGCGCCTTATTCTCCCAGGGAACTCTCTCCAGAGGCCAAAGCTGCATTGGAGAAGGTTCTGGAGACAATGTCTGCCAGGCAGGCCCACAGGTACGATCTGGGCCTGCCTTTCAAATTCATCATATTGGGAAGATTGCCACACCTCCACGGTGTAATCTTTCAGTGGACAGACACCCTAGGGAAGGGCAAGGACCAAGACTGAAGGGCCCCACTCTCAATCATAGAGTGAGTTTTCCTAAGTCACCACCGGTCCAAAAGGATGATATGGCCACAAGAGCTGGTGGCAGAGTTAATCTGCAAAGCTAGAGCGTGGATTTGGGAGTTGGCGGGATGTGACTTTGAATGCATTCACATTCCTCTCAAATTAGAATTGGGCCAATTCACAAAGGCCATGTTGGAGCACCTGCTTCAAGAGAATGAATCATTACAGTTTACTCTAGACAGCTACACAGGCAAAATTTCCATTTTGAGACCAGCCTACAAAATTTTTAATTCAGAAATCCAATTCACCTTGTCAACAAAACAGAATCAGAGTGAAAAACCTTTGAATGCCCTAACAGTTTTTACAGATGCGTTTGGAGGGTCCCACACGTCTGTTGTGACTTGGAAATATCCTCAAACTCAGTGGTGGGAGGCAGATGTCATTGAGGTGGAAGGCTCCTCTCAGACAGCTGAGTTGGCCGCAGTTGTTAGAGCTTTCGAGCGGTTCTCTGAACTCTTCAATTTGGTTACCGATTCGGCCTGTGTAGCAGGTGTAGTGTCTAGAGCACAGGATGCAATCCTGCAGGGGTGTATCCAACGAGGCCTTGAATAGCTTGCTCTCAAAATTGATTAAATTAGTCTCCCACAGAGAGCAACCTTTCTATGTGATGCACATCAGGTCACATACCGATCTGCCGGGGTTCTTGGCCGAAGGCAATCGGCATGCTGATTCCCTCGCTGCCGCCCCCGTGCAAATGGTGCCACTTCCTGACAAATTCCAGCAGGCAAAAATCAGTCACCAGCTCTACCATCAAAATGCGCCCAGCCTGGTGAGGCAGTTCCATCTCACCCGTGACCAGGCTTGGGCCATGGCCACATGCCCATCCTGTAAGTCGCTTCCCTTGCCATCAGTGAGCGCAGGGGCAAACCCTAGAGGTCTGAAATTTTGTGAGGTGTGGCAGATGGATGTCACTCACATCTATCCCTTCGGGAGGATGAAGTACGTCCATGTCTCTGTTGACACCTTCTCAGGGGCAGTCTTTGCCTCTTCCCACACAGGGGAGAAAGCCTCAGACATCCAGAAACATCTAGTACAGGCTTTCTCTATGCTGGGCGTCCCCAAATTAATCAAAACAGATAACGCCCCAGGTTACACCTCCAAGGAGTTCGCCAGCTTCCTGCAGCAATGGGGAATAGAGCACCAGACTGGTATCCCCTATTCCCCATCAGGCCAGGCCATGGTGGAGCAGACTCACCAGAGTCTCAAACGGATGCTAAAACAACAACCAACAATGAATGTAGAGTCTCCCAGGTTCGATTAGTGTGGGCCCTTTTTACTATTAATTTTCTAAACTGTTCATTTGAGTGTCTCAATCTGCCAATCACCAGACATTTCAATAATTACGAGCAAGGCAAAGTCAGGGAAAAGCCGCCGGTCCTTATCAAAGATCCCGAGACCTGGCGGCAGGAGGGGCCCTATGATTTGGTCACCTGGGGATGGGGATACGCTTACGTGTTCATGCCCTCAGGTCTGAAATGGGTCCCCTCCAAATTCGTCAGACTGTACGTCCCAAAAATACAGACAAAATCAGAAAGTCCTCAGGTGGGACACGCAGCTCTCTGAAGGTGGAGAAGGTCTTCCCTCTCAGAGTCTACTTCCACCCTTTCCAGCTCCCCCGGCTTTTTGTTCCCTTTTGAGTTGGACCTCCCCTACCCTGATTATTAATGTATGTTTCAGTTGTTTTTCAGACCCTGTCCTCGTTCAGATCCAGTCCAAGATGTCACCTGCTCTGAGCCTCATCCTTCTTCTCACAATAATCGGTGTATGACCCCTGCGAGCGTGGATCATTCCTCAGCCTCAGGCCAACGTGTGGACCACTTTGGCCAAGTCTTTAAATCAAGATCATTTATGTTTGTCTACCTCCTCAGCTTCCAACCCCCTCCTGTCCTGCCTCATGGGGATCCCATATCTCTTAAATGAGTTTCCTTTTACTTTTCCCAAAAATGTCTCTGCCCCTTGAGAAAAGACCCGCTTCTTCATCGTCCATGTTGTTAAACAACCAGATGCGTGGAGGAAGTGGGTCAAAGCATTCCTAGTCATGGAAAAGAACCCCAAAGAATTAGAATTACTTGGTTGCTCCCTTGCCTACACTTGTATTCATTTTGTTGTTTCCTCCAACCCCCTTGCCCAACTGCGTACCAAAATAAAGCAATCAATCCCTGAATATACAGCTAAGGAATGGTGTAAAAGAGTGCTTCAAATCCCTGGCTTCTCCATCTCTGATAACAAACCCCATGCATTACCCAAGGGCACATTCCTTATCTGTGGTAATCGGGCTTGGGCAGGCACCCCCCTCACCTGGTCGGAGGTCCTTGTACATTCGGGCAGTTGAGCTTCTTTACCCTAAATAAACCCCAAATTTCTCATTGGAGGGATCTAAATCAGATAGGGCAATTGGCGCGTCAAAAAAGAGACACTAGTATTACAGAATGGGACTCAAATTGCAAAGATGAAGTTGTTCATTGGTCAACTATGAAAAGCACATCCCTCCCCTTTTTTTAATGTGGGTGGCAATTGCGCAGAGCATTGGGGAATTGGCTCACTTCAAATGTCGGGTGGCTAAACAAGCAAATCTTACTTCATCTGTCCTAGCCGACCTCCTAGCACATGAGGAAACAACGAGGCAGGCAACCCTCCAAAACCGTGCCGCAACTGATTTTCTCTTACTTTTACATAATCACAAATGTGAGGAATTTGCCGGATTATGTTGTAGGAATTTGAGTTCTAAGACTGAGGACGTCCGCGCTACAATATCCAAAATGCAAGATATGATCCATAACCTTAAAAAAGACTCATCAGACTGTCTGGGGTCAATCTTCCAAGGAGTGGACTCTCTGGTTGGATCCAATCCATCATTCGGACAGGACTTGTTCTTCCGTTAGCCCTTGTTGTTTTCATTATTGGTTTTAGTATTGTAAAAAAATTAATTTTAAAGGCAATCAACTCCACAATTAACATCAATCAGGGCACATTGGCCTCACCATCAAAGAAGGAACCCCTCAACCAAGCAGAACACCAGGAACAAGACATCTGGTTCCAAGATGAGCCAATGGACAGTGATTCCCCCATTTAAAATTCATTTCGCTCCCTCTTTCTTTCTTTTTAAACAAAAAAGGGGGAGATGTGGAGTTGCGTTTTTTTTTATGTTTTATTGCATTTTCATCCTGTAATCATTTGTTCCTGTATACCCCCACATTGTATTGGTTTCTCCCTGAGTTTTCCTGCCTTCCCTAATGTGTCAGTCTCCCCAGAAAGTACTTAGTCATTCCCCTGTCCCCTCCCAGCTGCCTTGTCTGTCACTCGGTGTCCTGTCCCCTACATCTAGAAGCTTCCATCCTGGGTGCCGAGTGATTGGATTAGGGCCTAGGGCCCCTTCCCTGTCTATCCCTCACTGGTTCCCTTATATGTCAATCCCCACAAGAACCACTCCCTAATGTCTCCCCATTGGCTGGTCCTCCCTGTATATAACTTGTGGCAAGCACCTCTCGGGTGCTCTCGTTGGCTGGCTTTGTTCATGTGCTGTTGGACCCTTCTGGGTCACAATAAACCTCAGAATTAGCCCCCAACAAGTGCCTCTCCTTCTTCCTTTGCCATTTGGATCTGCGGCGACCTCAGGACCCACAGAAGCACTTCCCAAAACCCATTGGGTCCAGCAGGGAGTGCTTCCTGCTGCCCTACTCACCCCATTGGAGAGCTAGCCAGGGCTGAGGAATTTGGGACAGTGATTTGGGGTGAGGACATGGCACTAGTCACATTATGGACATATCAGTTCAACAACAACATCTGTGCAAACAGAGGTTTTTTTTAGCATGGTTAAAGTAGTCCTTAAAGAAAGAGCTTGAGTATTGACTGCTAAGTGCTATTGTTATGGAGCTATTCTCAGCCACCCAGATGTGTCTTTGACACCTGAGAGATGTTCTTAAAAGCAGTATATTAGTTTCAGTGGTCAGCAGTTAGTGGTTATAACACCCAACTAAACAAAAGTATGTAAAACATATCAATAAAGTCCTTTTGTGTGGTTAAGGCTGAGTTATGAAATAGATATGCCTTCTTCCATCCTCCATTATTTTTGTTTTCTTTTAGTCTATTTTATAAAAATAATGGGAATGGAGGATGTAAAGGGATGACTGAGTGGCCAGGAATTCAGGCAAGTGCATAACTACTCTCCACATCTTCATCCCTTCTAATCATGTCTGTGTATGTAGTCAGCCTTACCCACCAGCCCACAGGCTCTGCCCAGATGACAACTAACCAATGTCATCTGGCATGCCGGCAGCCCTTAACCACGCCCAGACCTGCCAAATTCCATTGAGCCCAATAGACTTAAAAAAGAGTATTTATGGCTATTAAGGAAGCATTTTATTTACACATGGAAGAATATTTTAATTGCACAGCATTGTTCCTAATTTTCATTTTATCACCATTTGCCTTCCAACTAAGTTAGAAAAAAACTGATATCTTTTTCGTGACACATTTGAGCTTTGTGCTAAAGAGTCTTTCAAACACTCACTAAGATCTGTACACTGGGAAAATTGTAAATCCACCCTTTTCTTACAGTTGTGAGGCAGAGATACATCTGCAGTCCTAAACAGGTTTTGTAATAAATTTTCTCATGCCAAAATGGAGATTATAATCAGCAGTTTAAATCGGTCCAACCAGTTATTTTTACAGCCATATGTTTGTAATATAAAGCAACATGTTTAAGCAAGAACTGAGTAATGTGTTCAGCAACAAAAATTATATGTATATGCCTTTATTTAATATAAAATGGATTAATGTGGGAGACAGAGTAAAGGGGATTATTAAAAGAGTTTTTTGCTGTTCTCTTCACATTTGGAAAATACTGAGTATTGTCCCTTTCTACTGTTTCTAATTGCAAGGCATTTATTGAATAGATTACTTTACACTACCTAAAGGTCTTAGCTCCCAACAGAATTATTAAAACCTTCTAAGAAAATTTTTAATCATATTTTTAGAAAAGTTATCTCAAAATACATATTCATTATAAATTAAGAAATATATTATTATTTTGCTGGAGATCACTGACAAGGATTAAATTTTAATTTGGTACCCAGCCAGTTCCATTTGTAGATAGAATTTAAAGCTTGTTCTTAATCTTCTGTGTTAGTAGTCCAGGATGGCCTCTGAAAGAAATATAGTTATTAATGCCTGCCTGCACTGTATTAGTTTCATGCACACAAATATATCTTGGTCTGTGCAATGGATCTTTAACATGTCATTGCCATTACAAGAAAGGAGGGACAGAAACCCCTGGGAGGAAAACAGAGCGACAAGAGATCAAAAAAGAAAGCTAATCCTTCTGTGAGGCTTAGGGCACGTCTGTTCTGCAGGCAGCAGCACGACACGGAGCTGTTGAGTTCAGCAAATGTGAGCAGCCCCACTACGCGCTGAGCCGCCTGCCTGGGGGGCACTGCACTGGCTCACCTGGAAGGATGGAGCTTTGTTGATAGGCTTCTTTCCTATTTCTTTTGACTGGTACAGGTACACAGGTACACTGTGTCAAAGGACGCAATGACTGTGGCTGTTTGGGGGCCCCGTGTTTGCTGTGATAAAAGATACACCAGAGAGTAGGTGTATGTTAAAATATCAAGTTCTCATGTTTTGTGGCAGTTAGAAGGGAGTGTCTTGTGTTGCTCAACAGTTAATTACTGTTGCTATCACCTCCCACACTGTTCTGTAACACCACAGGAAATCAGCTGAGGATTATTCTCATGCTAGCAAAGATGGGAAAAAAGAATGTTTTGGGACTTAATAAAATCATAGATTTTCCCCATCAGTAGTTCTTTCAGGTGGAATATATGGCCCAGAGAAGATATTTTTGTATCTGAATTATGCATTACGATCTATGAGACTTGAAGTTAAGCTAAGTATTCAAACAGTCTGATGCTGTTCAGGGGTTTTGAACTGTCACTACTGCAAAAAGAGCCTTAGACTGAGTGGTTTTCCTACACATCTGTGGGAAACAGTCGCATTTGGTATGTGCGTGGTATGTATTGCATGTTCTCAGGGTAGTGCACAATTTATTTCCCAAGAAAAAAGTAGTCTAGTTTAGAGTTGCATGGAACTTTGACATCTGAATTCTATTCATCATTATTTATAAAGTAAGTTTCCAGAACACTTAATTGTTTTGCAGACAGCTAATATACCTGAGGGCCTAAATGAATGTTTGAAATAGCTGCTTCATCCTGTTCTACCACTCTGGTTAACTATTGAAGTTTAGGTTGACTAATGAAGTATATCAAAGTAATTTAAATAACACTCAGCAATGAGCTGTTGTATTAAATGTAGATACCTATGATAATTGCTGAATCTTGTAGTATAAGAATTATATTGTTTCTTAGCAGAATTCATCTGTGTTGGACTGTAGGTTTCACTACTTAAGGAGGCTTGCTTTGTGTGGCCCTGAACATGAAAGAAGGCTCACTGGTACATCTCATATCAGTAAGAAGGTTGATTATATATTCTGGTGGCCTTGAAAACTGGGCTAGCAAAGTTTTTTCCCTGCCAGAAAGGGGAAAAATTATGCAAGTGAAAAGGTAGTAATTCACAAGACTGCTCAAGTACTATGTGTGACAGGCACAGGAAAAATAAGTTAATCTCAGAGCAACTAAACACCACACTACTGGTTGCTCACTCCCCACTACCCCGAAGGATGGAGGGGGGGCAGATAATGGAAGGATAAAAGTAGGAAAATTCATGGGCTGAGATAAGAAAAGTTTAATAATTGAAACAAAATACAATTACAATTGTAATTTCAAATTGTAATTAAAAAGAAAAAAAAACATACAAAAAAAAAAAAAACCCCAAAACCAAAGAACAACCCAAAAAACCACCAAAATACAAAGAGATAGAAATAAAACTCAAGAAAGACAATTGAATTGAATAAAAACAATTGATTACCCCTGACCAATGCCCCTCCTCACACTTCACTTTCCCTCAGCTTTATATGCTGAGCATAATGCTGTTATGGTATGGAATATCCTGTGGTCAGTTGTGGACAGCTGTCCTGGTTGTGTCCCCTCCCAGCTACTTGTGTCCCCCCAGCCTCCTTGCTGATGGGACACAATGAGGAACAAGAAAGGCCTTGACACTGTGTGAGCACTGCTCAGCAACAGCTAAAACATCCCTTTGCTATCAACACTGTTTCCAGTGCAAATCCAAAACATAGCTCCATGACAGATACTGTAGGGGAAAATTAACTCTACCCCAAACAAAATGAGCATATACAAGAAACAAAGGAGCCACTCTAGTTTACATATGAAAAAGCCACAAGGTACACAGGGTGTGCACAATCCTCCATGATACAGTGGTGCATCACCACGGCTAGTGCTCTCTTCCGTGTCGCCCTGATCTTCCAGACCTGGAGATGAAAGTCCTGCTCTGTGTGGACCACATGGAAGCTGTGAAAGAAATGTTTTTTACACTGCTCCATCTTCCCTCTATCTCCATTGCTTTATCTAGGGTAATTTAAATCAAGGTTCTTCATGGTCCCTAGCTCATGTCTCCTCTCTCCCCAGCAGGCTGTTAATAATCTTTTCTATTAATTTGCATCTCCTTTCTCTGCTACACACAGCCATGCCCACACAGCTCTCCAAGCCAGGACATAATCCTCACCTGTCTGTACACCAAAGTCCTCAGTCCTTCGAATATCCAATGTAATTCATCAAGCTTGTCTTAAAATTGGTAGTTCTGTTTGCTTTTGAAGTATCACCCAACCTCTCTGGGCAGTCCTTAGGCATGTCGTCCCCTTTATTCTCGATTTCCTTTTGGTTATGTGCTATGCTTAGGTGCATACAGAGGCTTGCTAATTCAAATAGTGTTTTGAGTAGAAGAACATGAGAACTTTGACCTGAGACAGTGTTAGAGCAGAAATGTACAACAGAGTAAGGAAAATAGGAGGGAGAGTTCATTAGCTTTTTTATAACTCGGTATTAACATATACATGCAGTTTCTAGAGTCACAGTGGCTGCTTGTTAATTCACTTGGACCAAGTACAATATTTTTCTATGAGCTAGCAGCTCATTAGTTTCCACAGCTGGAGCATTTATTCATTAAAGTCAGTCAAAAATGTTGTATTGAAAACTTGGCATTTTAATATTTTTTTATAATTATCATTATTCTCCTCAGTCATCTGCAGCTTTTTAAAATCTTGCAGTCATATACAAAAGTGATTATATAAATCAAGATCTAATTTATCTGAAGAGACTTACTTAAATAAAAGTATAGCTGAGATATTACAGAAATCTTTGTAAATCATCGTCACTACTACTACTAACTGCTATATTAAAGTATTTCCTAGTTTTATAATAATTTTTGCAATGTAAACAAACAGTCAGTTCTATTTTTTATGTTCATTTGTAGATGATCTTTCTTTTTTTACCCTAATTAATATTGCTGCCTTTCACATCAGGATTTGTTAAATGCAAATCCAATTTGTCAAATTCAAATCTAGTTTCACTATTCCAAACAGAATTAATTTGTCTTAAAATGTTCTCATTGCCTTGTCTCTTGTAACTATGTCCAAGACAGAAGATTCCATGGTACT